CTCCCCCAACGGTGATTTTATTACGGATCCCCGCTGCCACAGACCCTACAAGCGGGGGACAGCAGCGGGGATCCATGGAGTCTCTCATTCCTCCCTGGGGCTATTTAAACCACCTGTACCTGATGAATGCCACACGCCCCTCTGAGGAAGCCCCACTCGCTTGGGGGAAACGCCGCGTCAGGGATAGCGTGTTACCTGCCTCCCTGATGACCCAGGACTTACTGCCTTATCATTACATTTGTCGGGTTAAGGAATCTATGCCACACTGATTGTATTGAGCGAGGTTTGCATATACAGCACAGCAATAACACAAAGTACCGGCTTCTGATTTGAGATCGAGCGGAGCCGACCTATGCACCTTTGCAGCTGCAGTCAGGCTTACGACTGAGCTCCGCTCTGGGCATACTGCCCCTGGAATATTGTCTGTCCCTGTATCAACGTGCGGCTGCACTTCTAAGGGAAACCCGTGGGCTGTCTCTCACACATGAGGCAAGATTTGTAGCCCTTTCGGGTAATACTTGTCCAGGATCAATCATGAGAAAAGCCGTGTAAACCTTCAGAATCACAGCAAACAACTACCAGGATTACAATTTACTACACAAACATCTTTGATTTGGATACTATCCAGACATCTTCTACGGAATCACGGATGGATTTTCTTTCTCTCTGTGGCCACAGATGAATTAGTGAGTAACTTTGCTACATATCGATATCATTGTATCCACTGTTGTTATACAGTGCATTTGCTCACATCAGTGACTGCCTGTCATCCTGCCGATACATTTAACCCTGACTACCCTGTCCCACTATTTGGGCCATCTTAGGGAAGCTGTGTCTTTGTTTTAAACAAAGTTTAATGTCATGTATGAGGTGATTTTTTCCTTACACCGCTTGATGATCTAATAAAAATTATGTTTTCTATATCTTATACTATTGAATTACTTGCTCATTGGATCGCTCCATTAATGGGATTTCCACACTAAGGGGATTGTGCTTTTTGAATACTAATTTTGAAACCCAGGAGCTTGATCCATATAAATTGTATATTCTCTGCGTTACTCCTTTCCCCAGTGTGCATACATATAGTAGTATTCTCATATTTAAGGGAGGGAACCCTTTTCACAGCAGAGGCACCGTGTCACTATCCCAGTAGTTGAGGCGCTTGGCGATAAACGTGCGGGGAGGCGCCCTGGGATGGGGGTTTAGGAGATGATGGTGGGCTCTTTCCATAACAAAGGCCTCGTAAAAAGTAAAGCACCCAAACAGGGAGACTAAAAGTTGTTCCAGGAAGGCCTCCGAGTGTTGCCCTACCACCCAAAGTTTGAATCTACAAAGTCGATTTTCTTGGTCTTAAGTGCTGGAGAGTGGAGACTATAATCACAGAGTTGGAGCACACCCGAGGTCAATGGAGGCAGCTTATCTCCCACATGGCTGATGCATGACTCTGCTTCGGTGATAGGGGAACGGAAAGCCTGCATGTCTTGTCGCAAAATAGAGACCTCAGCCTTTGCCTCCTCAATCCTGGTGGTCAGACTGGTCTGACAGGAAGTAATGGCTATCTTGATGTTATCAGCAGATGTGACCACCGGCAGCGTCTCGGGTAACTGCAACAAGGCTGCAGAGTCCACAGCAGGCCCCGAAGTGGTGGGCTCCTTTTGTTGGAACTTATCCAGCAGGGATGGAGTTTTTGGAGCACAAGTCATATCACAGGTAGTTTCCGCTTGCCCTGGAGCAATCCGAAATGTGTTTCCCTCTCCAGCTAAGTTTCCCAACAGCCGCTAATCCAAGCCAGATGCCACTCGTAGATATGTATTTTTATTGTGCAGTATTTACCATTTTCGCTGCATACTAGCAAACATTTATCATTCCCCCTCCTTATTTTGCTGATGTGTTAAAATGTCTTGCACGGTTTCTAGTAGCATCCCCAGATATCTTGATGATGGGAGAGTTTGAAGGTTATTTCAAACCAGTAATGGACAAATTTACAATAGCTCAAACAACTTCAACCTTGCTGCAACTCCTTTTGCTAGACTAGTATCTGAATTTGGCCTATATGATGTATGGAGAATGAAGCACTTAACTACATTCTGCTTCTCCCGTACCCATCATTTCGTATCTCAATCTGATCTGACCCTGCGTAATGAAAATTTGCTTCACTATATTCTATCTTAATAATTTGTCCCCAGCGGTCCCTCCGAATCATTCTCCCTTAATAATGAAACTAGAAGCACAGGTTTCCCACTGTCAGGCTGGAAAGGAAACCCCTACTAACTGAAATTGCTGATCATCACTTTTTTTTTCTTCTAATTTTCTTGGAATCCGTAGACACACAACCTCTATCCCTGTAATATGAGGTCTGGTCTTTCCTCATTAAAGGCATAATGAACATCAAACACCCATCTAAAACTTGGGAGACAGCTCTAATGGGAAAGGTATACTTATAAGAGGAGCGTGTCATTAACTACCCCTATCTATGTGGTACAATGCACAGCAGCTTTATAATTCCATCCCAGTAACCGAAGTGGAAAACAAAGGATTTTTTTGTTAAAGATATTTTGAGAAGGGGCGAATACAAGCTACCTACTGAGCATGATAGCAAAGATGCAGCAGGAATATTTATTTTTTTAAATTTATTTTTTTAAAGAACATAACTAATCATGAAGGCTCTACTACCCATATCCATAAAGAAATCTTAAACATGTTTTAAGAGCTTCTATGAGGACCTATACAGTTCTCAAATCCAGTTTAGTACAAATGCCTTAATACATTTCTTTTTACCCCACTCTTGTGATTTAGAGGGTGTAGATAGGGATGTACTAAATACGGAAATCACCCTGGAGGAATTGAGTGTAGCAATAGCTGAAGCCACTAATAACAAAGCCCCAGGTCTAGATGGATTACCATCTGAAATATACAAACATTATGGCTCTCCTCCTCAAGTTATTACATGTATTTAATGAAATAGCTTATACGGGTTTAATTGTCGATTTAAGAGTCGATGAACAAAGCTATCAATATTTGTAATTCCCAGACAAGAGTGTGACAAATTGCTGCCTGAATCTTATCGTACAGTCTGGTTATTTAAAAGAAGTTAAAAATCTTTGTGAGAATCCTAACTAATCGCTTGGCGACAGTGATACACTAAGGACATGATGGTCTATTTTGTATTATCCCCTCAGGATCAATGCCCATCAATATCAGTAACTTTAAATATGCAACTTGCCCCAGACAAGTTGGGTAACCATGCCCTACTTGCTCTGGATGCACTTAAGGTTTTCAACAATGTAGAGTGGAAATACCTGTGGTGGATACTGGATATGTTTTGACTTGAGGCAATATTTTATCAAATGGATTCAAACCCTTTGTGGTCCTTGGAGAACACCTTTGGGTAGATAATGTCCTTTCTTAACCCTTTACTTTAAAAATAGGAACGGGGTAGGGGTGTTTCTTGTGCCCTCTGGTTTTTTCACTTGCACTGGAACCCCTTGCAATAGCAATCAGACAAACAGAAGATATTTGTGGGTTTTGTAGGGAAGAAGATTAACTGGCTTTGTACACTGACGATGCAAACCTCTCCTTGGAGCATGTCAACGGTTCCTTAGTTACTAAAAAAAAAAAAAAAGCTCAACTTAACGCCCTTGTTGAATAGCGTGAAAAATAAATGTAAATATTAGTGATGCACCGAAATGTCGACCACCGAAACATATCGGCCGAAAATGGCACTTTTGACAAAATGCGAAAGTGCCATCTTTCGGCCAAAATTACAGTGCATCCTTAGTTTCTCTCCTCCCCGCTGGGCGCTGCTCTATGTTGCCTCTTACATTATTGATTTTAACTACCCCTTACTGCTGTTAGCAGAGCAAATATACAATTCGTTTATTTGGATCTGCTAAAAATGAGTTTAATTTATTTGACTCAATTTTGTGAACTTGGAAAAAAAATAACCAGAATTAAACTGAGCACTTTACCACTCCCCTAAAATGCATGAATCTTCACGGTTCCCCACATCAAGCAATACTTTTTAGCTTCACAGCTACAGAACATGGCAGGTTGGGACATGCTAAACCTTGATAACCCAGTCCAAAGGAATTATTAACAGTATAAATAAGGGATTGTGTTTTGTGCAAGCAGTAGAGGCAGGGACACTAAACACAGATTTCTGAACTATGTTGGGCTTAACTCCTTTACCCCAATATAGTGTAATATCTACTATACTGAACTCTACTGCATACTTTGTATGCAGTATGAAGAATTTGCACTCCCAAACAATGTTTAGCAATATCTACAGATTTGCCATGCCCTGAGTACACAGGCAGATACAACTGCCCTCTACCTAGACTACGTAAGTGATTCTAATACAAAATATAGCACAGGCTTCAACAAAAAAGGCCTTATTCACTCAAATATATGCAGCATTAATGGCTGGTCTTCAGGTGGCCATTCTGCCTTGTAGAGCTGGCTTAAAGGAAGATGTAGGCCCACTAATGGAAGAGCAGTGGAATGAAGCCCTGTCAATAGTTACCAAATTGTCTTTCATCCTCAATGAGGCTTACTCATTTATTCTGCATAGAATATATTGCATGCCTGAATGACTACACTAGTGTGAAAGGCAGGATACATCAGTCTGCCCTAGGTATGGACAGAGTGCTGGTGGTCTACTCTAGATGTTGTAGAGATGTCCTGATTCAGCTATTGGAAGAGTGTCCCTCAAGATCTCTCATTTCCATAACTACATTTTTTTTGGGGGGTCTGGAAATTAGGGATGCACTGATGCAGTTTTTTTGGTATCGAGTACCGATATTTTTTTTTATTATTTTTAGCATTATTTTTTTTATTATTCTAGTGTTACAATGCACATCATCAAATTAGAAACCACTTCCTCACAAAGCTTGTATTTTATTTGTGTCAAACAATAATATTTGTGTTTTGCAGTAACCAAAATCTCTTTCTATTATATTTTGTGAAGTTTAATTGTCAGCTCTGTGGGTAGGTGGGAGGCCAAGAGGACAATTTTTGTGTGTTTCATTTGTAATGACTAAAAAACATTACCACATCTTATGTAAGTATTGACACAATAATTTGCAAAACAATCTTTTAAACAACTTTTTGATCTTTGTGACTGCAGGCACTGTGTAGCTATTCACCCACAAAAGTTCACAGCAGCACCAAGGTCTTCAAAGTTAGTCAGCGCCCTGCTCCTCTCCTACCTGTTCTGTCTTGACATTAGAGATTGAAAGGCAGAAGGTATAGAACATCTTTAGTACTGCTGCTGAGAAGATGAATTGTTTCACAGTGCCTGCATCATCTACCGAAGGCATAGGACTTGCTCTTATACATCGGATCAAAAAAAGATCCACTTCACCTAACTTTATTTTTTCTTCCTAGAAATGTGTTCTGCTAAGTAAAGAAAAAGTGAACCTATCCCTGCAAAGCATGACTATCTTGTGGAAGAAACAAAAGTTTGAAACTGAATACAAAGAGGCCACATCCAGGATGAAGGAGCTGGAGGTAAATGTTTAAGGCAACATAATTGCATGCATTCGCTTAGGACTGATCAGTATGTTCTTGCGGAGTCAAAGTGCAAAGTTTCCCTTAAATTATTTTGTAGATTTTCATACAGTTGTACATACCTGCTCTGCTTAGTAAATGAAAACCTTGTCTACAGAGATATCAGGATCTTTTAGTACAGCGCCTATATTGAAAACATGGAATCACCTCCATCAAACTACTTGTGGATTTAGAAGAAGGCTTTTGGGTGCAAATTACCTACTGGTATAAAGTGAAAAGATCCATCTTATTTTCCATTAAACTACTTTTCAGGTGAAAAGTATGTTGAATCTTTTCTTTTTCTACTGAATAAAGTCCTTGTCTGCAGAGGTATCAGTAAGTTGGGGTATTGCACTCCTGCTGAATCTGACCAAATTGGCAGAACTCTTTCTTAGAAAGAAAAAAGCCTTGCACCGTCCTTCATAACCTTTTTTTAAAAAAATATCGCTTATACATGCCTAAAAAAATCAAGGTGTTGTATGGCTGGTCATGTGATATCCCGGGTCCTCTTTCAGTAGCGCCATTGGGTGCGCTTCTTTACTGCATAGAGAAGCACTGACATTGGGGCATCAATTCTGCTTTCTGGGATACTCTACTCCGAGTCCTTCCTGACGCTGGTTGTCTTAACCCTTAAAAGGTCCGGCACTGGACACCTAGCGCATTGTGTCTTTGTGGGAGAAGGATGGGGAGGATGTGAGTATTACATAGTTACATAGTATTTGAGGTTGAATAAAGACACATGTCCATCAAGTCCAACCTATTGTGTGTGTGTGTGTGTATAGATCCCTGAGTCATCTCGTTTTTAGGAGTACTACCCCCTCCCTCTTCTCCCACCTCTGTCCCTCCTGAACAGGTTGTACCCCTCTATATTGGTGGCCCAATCATGTGTGTTGTCTAGCCTTGAGAGCTGTTTTTTCAATTGCTGGAATGGTTAATTTTTACTTTTCAATCTTGACTAGCAAAAGTGTGTCCATTCCAGAATGTGCAAGGCTATCCCCTTCACTGTCAGGTCATTCTCTGCTCCCTCTGGGCCAACCCCCTCAAATGTGCTACCTAGAGAGCAATTTAATTCCAAGCAAACGCCCTCTCACAGACTTTTTTTCTGCCTGGGTTTTCACTTCCAGGTGGAGGTGGGAAAAAATAAAGGAACTGTTTTTAGTTCCCTGGAGTCCTCATGAAGCGGACCTCTTCCCTGACATTTTGACATTTCCCCTAAGATAAATCAAATCCTTTATGTCCTTGTTGTGGACCCTGCCATCTTATGCCTGAACAAGACCCTTACAGCCCCTGTAGAGCATGTCTCTCTTTTCAAGGAACACATGGACAAGAGGTTAGAAGCTCACTTTAAAGCCTAATTTGCCCTTGCAGTCAGACACTGTGGTTGCCTCTATGGCAATGCGTCAGACCTTGTCAAGCTGGTCCAAAGCTATGGTCAAAGACCCCAGATCTATCTTGACTGATCCTGAAGCTCTGAAGCAGCTGGAGCTTTTCGCTGGACCCTGCACTACAGCTTGGGTAGCCTGGTGGATACTCTCCACCTGATATCGAGGGTGAACATTGTTCACATACGGCAGATCCTTTGGCTCAAGTGTTAGTCTGCAGAGCTCCCTGCAAGAAAAGCCTAGACGCATTCCTTCCACTGGAAGACACCTTTTGGTGAATCCTTCGATACCTAAATCAAGGAAGCCGCCATGGGTGGTGGGGGGCATGGTAAGGGTACCTTCTTGCCTCAGGCAAAGAGGTCTAAGACTCTGATAGCAATGTCTTTGCAATTCCATCACAAGGCCTGGGCCTCCAAGCCCGTTAAGGCGAAAAGTAAACCCTTTCCACAATAAAGGGGTACCCCTACTTTAATAAATGGTCGGTTGTCTCTTTAATGGTGGACCTCCCAATTACAGGGTCTTCCAACCTGGATTCAAACAGACAATACTGTGGCTACGGCTTACATCAACAATCAAGGAACTACCAAAAGCCACGCTGTACAAAACAAAGCAAACCTGTTTCTGGCTTGTGTGGAACTTCCTGCCCGGCCTGTGGTACACATTCCAGGTGTGGATAATTGGTAGGTAGACTACCACAGTCTGGACCCTGTGGTGTTTTAATCCTTTTGTCGCTGGTGGGGGATACTGGACGTGGATCTTCTGGCGTCCACTTTCAACAAGCTAGAGGGGTTTGTTGAGTGGACTAGGGATCCTTGGTGCAAGGCCAGGAAGTTCCATCCTTGGAAATACTGGGTGGGATGCATTTTATCCTTCCTATCACTCTGATGGTACTCAAGGCTGAGCACTAGTCCAGGCCAAAGTCCTGATATCTGCCATGGAGATTATCTTCCAGTTACTAACTTGCCTCCCACTCATTGGGAAATACCTTTTATGCAGGGAGTGGCCCATGTTCTTCCCTGTGCTCTGGTTACTCTGTGAAGCCTCAGTCTGATTCAGTTGACTCTTCAGAAGCCACTCTTTGAACCAATCTGAGATCCTTCTCTGCCATTGCTCACTCACAAGGTGGCCTTTCTTACAGCCATCACTTCTGCTAGATGTGTTTCTGAATCAGCAGCTTTGCCATGCAAGAAGCCTTTTCTAGTCAGCCATAGAGATAAAGTTAAGTTGAGGCCTAAGGTGGTCTGCCCTCCACCTTAATCGGGACATTGTGTTACCATCTATGTGTCCTATACCAAAACATCCTAAAGAAATTTCCCTCCATTGTTTTGGACATTTGTTCCCTGTTTGGGTTGTTGGTTTTTATTATGCCTGTTTGCTGTGTTGCCAGGAGTGGGAGGGGTTATGCAGGAATGTCCTGCAGCTTTGATTGATTTCCCAGTGACCAGTCACCTGAAGATAACTGCATAACCCAATGATTAAAGAATTTTAACTCCTTGTGTCCTCTAAAGGTGGCCATACACCTTGCAATTATCGTTCGATTTCCTTCGTGCCCTTATCGTACCGTCGCCCGTGTTCTGCTCTGATACCCCATCATGCACAGACCAATGTGGATTTCGATTATCACTCGTCATCAATACGAACTGACCGAATTTCGTCGCTCGACAGAACTGATTTTCGTTTGCGAATGTGCAGTATTCATGTTGCGATTTGTTTTATTCTTTTATTTCCCCTTCCCCCCCCCCCCCCCCACATAAAAAAAATACAACCCCTGTACATATATATA